ATCACTTCACATCTCGTTTTCACCCATTTCGCTCGTGGTTTCGTTATCGCATGCAAATTGGAATTGGTTTTCTCATTCCTTTCTCGAAAAATAACCACTGCGTGCGACAGCTTACGCAAATTTCGCGTTTTGATTGTGCTGGTCGAAAGAAATCACACGTATAAAAAGGAGAGCAAACGCACGCTCAAGGTGTTTGTAAAAGTTGCACGATAAAGTTGAAATGCAGTAGCATTATTCATATTCTGATTTAGCAATTTTCAGACAGCGTTCATCGAACTGCTCTCGCAATTTAAAGCGCGCCTTCCTGCTCGGTTTGCACTGCAGGAAAATGTGGTCTAGGGGCACAAAATTTAAACGAGTAACAATGCCTGGGCTTTGGCGTGCCTGCTACGATTTGAATTTAAGATAAGATGGCAGTTTAAGCTTTTATACAATAACTACGTACAAAAATAGCTTTGTTTGTGTTGTATTCATGCGTCTTCTTTGCTCAAAACCCGCACAAACATTGCACTCCATACGACATATTCCATGCAGCGTGAACGAAACAGACAGGCACACTCGAAACTGAGAAAACAGTTAAATTGACGCTGCCTGAAAGTTATTAAATCAGAAAATGAACAACACCACCCCATTTGAGATTTATTTATTGTGCAACTATTACAAACGCCATGAACATGCGTTTGCTCTGCTAGTTATACATGCGATTCCTTGCTGCGAATTCAAACTCATGAGGTGGGTTAGCTGGCACACGCAATGGTTCATTGTCGAGTAAAGCATAGAACAAGGAACGCCATGGGCGCGCGATTACGGAACCACGAACGAAACGTGCCTAAAACAGGATGTGAAGTGAGTGCATTCAACTCGCCGGTCGGGCATACTGGAAACAGAAATTTACCAGTGTAAACTGACGTGCACTATATCTGTTGTTAACGGCGGCAAGCATATCGCGTTGAACGCTTAATTGGTGGCGCTGATCTCAGTTTAAGCGAGCCAAGGCCACGCATCGGAGCGTTCAAGTTAAAGCTGCTGACGGCTGTACATACCTGATGGGGCAAATGCTAAAAGCATTGCTACTTTGCTTTTTTCGTTAATTGCATACAGAAATAATTAGGTATTGTTGAAACTTAGGTGGCATCTTTCTGTTGCATGTTCTCCATTGTATGTGGTGGTCTGCGGAAGGAAAACCTCAACTGGTAATCCAGGATTGTACTGACATTCCAGCCGTTGCTGTTTCATGATGTGTGAGCCTTCCTTTTGTCACGGTTTGTTAGGACGATAGTCCTACTTATAAAATATGAGTTCCTCAGTTGGGTAGGCTGTATAAGAAACATAAAATTCTTTGCAAATGTATGCTAGTGCTTTCTTAGTGAGCTTTTAAGCAACTTCCGTATTGCAGCGATAGGCATGAACAGAAATAATTAGTGTTCTTTATTTTTCTGAACTGTGCAAATAGCAAAATTTTGTGTGCAGAACAAACTCCAATTTGAAGTGTGAGTGTGACTCAAACATTTTAGAAAGTTTGTGGAGCATTCTTAATACTTTCAGTGAAGTTACAGAAGAAAAGTTGCATAATATTTTTAAGCACATTAATATGGAATAGAAATATGGCATTGTTTTTTTTGGTTAGGTTGCTGAAGATCTGGAGAGAACGTGCTTCCTTATTTTATCAAAGATGAGGCACTTGCAGAGCGGATTGGATTTATCTATCATATTTGGGGCAACCACTGTGGTGTTGACAACAGTTTACATGTGAAAAGTTTATATCCCCCCCCCCCCCTCCCACATGAACGTCTGTGAAGACGCCTCCGATTTGGTGGACAAGAGAGTGCTCCTTTCAAATTTGGGGTTGCTGATCTTCCCTGCAGATGTCTGTGTATAAAACATCAGAAGTTTCAGATAGTGAGAAGCTTTCTACAGTTTGTTTTGGACTCAACATATTTGTACAGCGCAAGACTACGAGCAGTGACGACGTAACTACAGAAGAAGAAACAAAGACCAAAAAAGAGCTGACTTCAACTGGTTAGTTGAAGTCAGCACTCGTTGTGTCCTTGTCTCTTCTTCTGTCGTAACTACTCGTAGTCTTGCGCTGTGCAAATATGTTGATTCCCAATCACCAACTAGCCCAAGCAGCTATCTTGTGTCGGATCTTTTGGTCTGAAACATCCAATTAGGCTTCCACCCTTGCCATGAAGATCTGAACCAGCGCTTTTGTGAGTCAATCTGATTATGCCCTTAGCGTAGCCAACGGAACAGTGAAGCATATTAAAAAAAAAGAAGGGAGTACTGTAACAGCACAGTGCATCTCCATGTTGGACCAGTATTTTCTCAAATCAATGCAATTGGGACCATAGCCTGAAATTGCAGCTTTGCCGCAAAGTAACGTTGTAAGGAGATAAAGCAAACAAAAATCAGAAAGGGCCGCTGTCAATGGGAGTTGAACTATTGTCTTCGGGAAGTTCTAATAGTAAGGATTTCAGTGGAAAATAATTGACTAGTAAGTGGTATATGAAAAATATTTGAAAGTGCGAATACTTGCACACTGTTATTTTTTATCTAAAAGTAAAAGCACAAATTTGCAACAAACGTATTTACCTTCATATATCAAATTGGGCAATATTGTAATGAATTGTTCGTGTTTCCCATGCCCTGCAGTGCTGCCTGAAGCCTTGTGGAAAAGAAAGCAACGCAGGACGGCTCAAAGATCAAGCTGAGACGGGAAAAAAAAAATAAACAGAGAAGTCATTTTCAGTCCTATACTACTGTGCAAGCCTGCTGTTTTTGCCCATGCGCACGTAAAAGTACCTGTTTTTATGCACAATGCACCTAATTACGTGAAGTGAAGGAATACAAGAGGATCTATTATGCAAAAATGGCCCCGTATCTGCCTGTTAATCTGCAAATGTCGTCGAAAGACGATAATCTTGCGTCTGGAAAGAGTGAGCAAAACATTTATTAGATGTTCTGCGCAAGAAATCGGTGAATGGTATTCTGGAGGCGCTGCGTTAGAGTGCCTCGAGCGTGCAGCGGAGGTGAACGAGCGCATCAAATCACGTCGCACGTGAGACAAGAGCGTTACCTGGCACTTTCTTCAAAAACAAAGCGTGTGGCTCTAGACGGGCATGTGTACCCGTCTCAGAGGTGTTAAGGTGTACAACGAAAAGCGACGGGTCGGTGCCACCACCGTGTCGTCTAAGCGAAGCGTTGGAAACACTCGCTTCTTCGTGCAAGCGTTTCATGGTCAGCGCAGCGTTATAGACGCTACGGTCTTTAGAATTACCTTTATAAGCCTCTTTTAGTAAAATACGCAGATATAGAATATATACGTGTTGGTATAGTGCCTGAAATATGCGCAATCATTGCTTTTTATTTGACAGTCGCACACCTATGAACGCTGAATCTTGAGCAACATTGGTGGGCGCTGCGAATGGGGTTGGCCGTTTGGGGTATGGGTTGGTGCGTTCAGAGTACCCGGGACCGTTAAGCGTGTACAAAGAGACAAATGTACAGACCCACAGACAGACCAAAATTTTTGCGTCGAAGGTCCCCGGAAAAAACTGACGTCTTAAAACACACCAGCCCAGTTCTTACCAAACCACAACAGTGGTTTTTTTCATGCACATTTTTTCATTTTTCCTGCACATTTACTTCTTCACAATTGCTATAAATTACTTCTAATAACAGCACGATTTCGAACAAGCTACTGAACAATTGACCATATTCATACTATCAATCAGGTTATAAAGAAATCTTTAGAATACAGCCAACCACAAGGTTTTTCTAGATTACGAAAATGTTTTGATTCAACAGAAGTATCAGCAGTCATGCGGACACTGCGGAATCAGGTAGTCGACAAAGCATATATAAACATCCTGGAAGAAATATACAGAGGATCAACTGCCACCAAATTACTCCATAAAGAAAGCGACAGCATACCAATGAAGAATGATATAATACAAGGACCTACGATCTTCCAATAATATTTACTGCGTGATTAAAGAAAATTTCCAGAAACCTAGAATGGGAAAAGTTATAAATAGCAGTTAATGGAGAGTACCTTAGTAACCTGCACTTCGCCCATGACATTGCATTGCCGTGTTACTCAGGGGACGTATCTCAAATCATGATTACTGAATTAGACAAGCGGAGCAGAAAGATAGGTCTCAAAATTAATCAGCAGAAACAGAAAGTAATGCACAACAACCTCGAAACAGAACAGCACTTTGAGATAGGCAATAGTGCACTTGAAGTTGTAAAAGACTACGTCTACTTAAGACAGTTATTAACCACGGAGCCGAGCCACAAGAATAAAGTAACTATAAGAATAAGATTTGGCAAGCCCTCTCTAATCCTCACTGGTAGATTGCCACTGTCCCTCAAAAGAAAGGTATATGCCAGCTGAATCTTGCCGGTACTTACCTGCGGAGCAGAAACTTGGAGGCTAATAAAGAGGGTTCAGCTTTATTGGAGGAGAGGGCAGCGAGCGATGGACAAGAAACTGATATGTATAACTTTAAAGGACAAGAAGAGAGCAGAGTAGGTCAAGGGACAAACCGGGTTTTAGGATATCCTAGTTGAAATGAAGAAGAAGTGAACATGGACGGGGCACGTAGCACGTAAACAGGATAACTACTGGTCGTTAGGGACAACAGACTGGATTTCCAGCGAAGTCAAGTGGGTTAGGGGGAGATAGAAAGTTAGTTGGGCAGGTTATATTAAGAAGTTTGCAGGTATAAATTTGCAGCAACAAGCACATGACTTAGTTTACTGGCAAATCATGGGAGAGAACTTTGTCCTGCAGTGGACGTAGTCAGGCTGATGGTAATGACTTCTAATAACATCCTCTATGCTTGGCTTAAGTCTGTCAGTTCTCATAACTATTGAGTCAATATGAATGGACGTAATGGAGAAAGGCAACGGGCGTTTCCTGCGACTGCAATTATCACCAGAAATATAGGAAACAAAGTGACCGTTTTTCAAGTGAGCCCGTTTGCACTGTGCAGGACATACGAGAGTGTGGTCGAGTGCAAGAACAACAGTCTGAGCAGTGACTGTTACACTAAGGCCGCCCGAAGTGCTCTGGCGAAGAACATCAAAGCCTTTGACGTGGCACGCAACTGGCTATGCGAGGACGAGCGGGCCAAACTGCGTGGTGAGCTGGTTGACTAATATTGTGTCATAATGGCGTGTGTGACGCGTGGCTTCTGGGACTGGAATCTTCGCTGTCACGCTAAAGTTTGCCAAAAATATGGAAAAGCGCCTTTCGATTGGATTTGTAACTGCTTGCGCTCTACGTGCATGTGCCATAACCCCTATGCTGAATCATTATTATTACTGCTCTTGTTTGCTTATCCGTGTCCGAAATTGTTAGATATTCCGCCAAAGATATCTTCAAAACTCATTTCATACGTACGTAAGGCTCCATTTCAAAACTACAAACGAAACTACTTTGCAAATACCATTCCTCTGAGAGACATTCTAAATTAATGTATGGCCTTTCTCTAAGATATTCGATGCTGAATGTTAAGAAATATGCTTGTTGGTTTTGTACTTGCTTTGCTATTTTCCTGGTCCTAACACCTATGTCACACGAGAAAGTTTGATGTCGTTTTAGTCTAAAGACATTCGACAAATCGAATGACAACAGGAGGCGTGTGCTGCTATATGGAAATATATAATGCCATTTGTAAATGATGGCAATTGCGATGTCGCTACGAGGGGACTGAACAGGAAAGAGTCGCAGCGTGTGTAGGAAATTTATAATGTATACTAAGCTTTATAACGAATGCTTTCACGTGAATTAAGCTGAGGAAAAAGGTTAACTTGCAGTTTTTTAAATAGCCAAAGAAAAGCTCGTAGCTCATACGAAGTCGAGGCGAGACTGGAGAAACTATTGCTTTTGAGGTCACGTGGTAAACTTTCAATATAGCTGACATGGCGGAATGCGAGGAAGCTGCTGCAACTTCTCGCGCCGATCGCATAAAAAGCATAGTCGTGGAATATTTCTCCCTTCGTGCCAGACATGTTAAGCAAGAAAGACAGCTTCACATCGAAATCGAAGAACAGGCTAGTAAGTCTCGAGATATTGAAGAGCGGCTACAAGCTCCAACGACTGGAGTAAACACTGAGCAAATGGCGGACATGGCCAACACGGCCGGCGACTCTTTTGAGAATGTCGCTGTTAACGAGAATATTCAATTTTTATCTACGGCTCACTTGAATTGTATGCAAATAAATAAACAATACTTAACAATACAATTTTATTTTACTTGTCACGATTTATTAACCCTTTCATATATAATCTGTCCACGTCCCTCTACCGGCGACAGTACATCTTCGCGGCGAAAACTCATTAGAATGAGTTTCGCCAGCACATTTGTTTTCTGAAGTCACTTTCTTTCAATGACCTTAGACGTCCCTGTGTGACAGCCAACTAATGTCATTAAATTCAAATGTCAATTGGTGCAAATAGCACTAAACCTTCTAGAATGACAGAAGTACAAGTTTACCTTGATACTCACCATGAGGATCAACATGAGGAACAACGTACTGAGGAGGAAGATTATTGAAGCGATCACCGAAAATGATACTAAATAGCTTGAGTTTGACTAAGCGTGATAAGAACGGACAAGCTCAGATTTAGTGACAGCAAAATGCTCTAGTGCTGTTATATTCTAGTGTGAAGAAAAAAGATGCTACGGTAAAGAAGAGAAAAACAGACGACAGTAGGAGCGCTAACAGTGCGTTACTTGTGCGAGTTGGCTGAGGATACTGTGAAGAAAGGGTGAAGAACGTGGCTTTAGGTTTCAGCTGAATCTGGCTCGACCCTCAAAATGCGCAGGCGCCAACTTTTGTCAGAATGTGGTTTTTAACCCACAGTAAAATGTGATATTCAAGCCGAAGTAATATTCATGGCTGTCCTCACTAAAACCCAATAGATGCTGTCATCTCGGGAGGCATTTCCGGCCTAGAATATTTATGCATAAAAATCACGTGCAGGAGCCATAAAGTTTGGCTCTGTGCCATTTATAGGCCTGCTGATGCCACACCTGAATATCTGAATAAACTATAAAAAAATAAGTTCTACTGTCATACATTGCCCTAAATTGGGGACCTTAACATACCAGGCATAGATTGGGTGCACTTTAAATCGCTTCCTGAAAACAGCAATCAATAAAATATTATGCTGAGCACAACGTTAACTCATGACCTAATCCAGATAGTGCGGAAACAAACAGGCCTAATGGAACTTCGAAATATGTACTTGAGTAAGTGAACAACTTTAATTCACTTCCTGCAGATTACCGGGCTGGGTTCCCACCTAGGAGCTGGTGGAGAGACCATGTCTCTCAGCAGCTTCTTTGGGCTGCTGGATCGCCCAGAAATGAATATATAGTCCTGAGCTGAGCAGCGCGGTCCGTCAACGCTCCCGTAGGTCCTCATTAGAGGCCGCGTCTCTCGCTTTGCAAATTAGTGCTTGAAACTCCCAGAGAATATGCGCTAATGTAGCACTATTACTACAATATTTGCACGAATTGGTCATATACAAGTCGGGGTAAATGTGTTTCATAATTACCGGATTAGTGTAGGTGCCTGTTTGTAATTGCCGCCATTGAACGGACTGGGCCCGGTTGATCTTGGGGTGAGGCGAGGAGCATTCCCGTCGTTGAAGTTTATATTGTTAGATAATGTCGTTTAATTTGGTAAGTCTATCTCCCCACTCCCTCTTCTCCGCAGGAGAGTCCGTACGGGTGGTGTCAACCGCTGACGTTGCCCGGTACGTGAGACCTTGAGCCACGTCGTGCGCCACCTCGTTAAGATTGACCTCCGTGTGGTCGATGGGTGTGTGAGCGGGAAACCAGAGAATGCATGCAATTCGGTCGTCAGAGCCCGCTTTGCCTTTTGTAAGGACTTTCAGTGCCACTGGAGAAATCCTACCATTTGCGAAATTTCGGACTGCTGTTTGTTAATCACTGATAATATACTGGGCATCAGTATGAGCTATGGCGAGCGCGATAGCGACCCCCCTTGCTGTATTCACGTGATTTGTATTGATTGAAGCGCTGGTTATGCATTTGTGCGTATGGTCTACAGCCGCAGAAACAAAACGGCGATAGTTTCGATAGCGCGCTGCATCGACGAAGACCATCTCCTAATTGCTTTTATAAGTTCAGAGCATAATTTTGGCTCTACTGACTTTTTTATCTTTGTTGTGATCAGGGTGCATGTTCTTTGGCAAAGGTGGTATCATGAGTTTAGTGCGGATTGAACGTGGTATGTCGCATTTCATACCATGCTGTAAGTTGTAAGAAATGCCGAGACTGTCGATAATTTGGCGACCTGCTTTCGTATTGCTCAAGCGCCGTACTGCGAGATCTGTTGTGCTTCAATTATTTCTTCAACCGTGTTATGAAAGCCTAGTTTAAGAAGGAGCTCCGTGCTGGTAGTGTGCCGAAGCCGTAGCGCCTGTTTGTAAACTCGTCTGCTGAGTTCATTTAGTTCAGCTCTTTCGGCCGTGAACCATTGATGGTAGGCAGCGACATAAGTAATGTGGCTGAGCACGAAGGAGTCGATAAGCCGGAGAATACTACATTCCTTCATGCCTTGATATTCATTACTTATTCTTTTAATGAGTCGCATCGTTTGCACAACTTTCGCTTGAAATTTGCAGATTGTCTCACCATTTGTGCCGTTGCTGTCAATCAAAAGTCCTAAAACGCACATTTTATCGACTGTCGGTATGACGCGTCCATCAGCTCTCTTCAGGGTAATGCATGTGTATGAGCTTCTTGTACTATACTGTTTGGGTGGTCTTCATATGAGTTTGGGGCGGTATAAGAGGAGTTCGGACTTGTCCGCTGAACACGAAAGCCCTGTTCCGCGTAGGTATTGTTACACTATGTTTACCGCTTCTTGTAGCCGTTCTTCTATAGAGCCATCGCTGCCATCACATATCTAAAGGGTAATATCGTCAGCATATATGCTGTGATGAAGCCCGGGAATCATGACAGTTTTAAGGGCAAATCGAGGAGAGCTAAGTTGAACAACATAGGAGATATCACGGAGCCCTGTGGAGTCTCTGCACTTCCTATGGGTATCTCAGATGATGTGGGTGGGCCCTTTTTGACTACAACTTGTCGGTTTGTTAGGAAGTCGCGAATATAGTTATACTGTCACGATGAGTCACAAGTACTGGGGGGATTTATTGAACGACCAGGTAGCTAGCTCTAGGACGATGCGTCAGTCGTGGCTGGCTCACGAGCAGAGAAGAACGCGATCTTCTTTTTTCCTCCAGATTTAGAGCCGCTCTTGCTGCCAACCCACTACGTGCTGGCGGCATTATCCCCCCCTTCAGAAAAGAAAAAAAACAACAAGTACCAAAAAGATGAAAGGAAAGTACATAGCAGCACCGCGATGCTACTACATAGGCACGTGAAAAAAAAATGGAAATTCGGATGAAGTGAAAGTAAAAATTGAAGAGCGTGCCAACATAGGAAACGTCAATGAACGAGAAAGTAAGTTCGCAAAATAAACAAAACACACAAAGAACGCTGTACGGTAAAGGAAAAGTTACGAACAACGCGCAATAAATGGCTTCATGCGCAACACATGAACGACGTCCGGCCTCAGCCGTGTCCTGCTCCGTGCATGGGGTGTTGAGTCCGGAACCACTTCGTAGTTCACGTCACTGACGCGGCGTAACACTTTATATGGGCCAAAGTACCGGCTCAGCAACTTTTCACTAAGGCCACGGCGGCGGACGGGCGTCCACACCCAAACTTGATCTCCGGGGCTGTAAAACACTTCTCTGTGGCGGGTATTATAGCGTCGTGCGTCTGCCTGCTGTTGCTGGCCGATGTGCAGTCGCGCGAGCTGCCGGGCTTCCTCGGCACGCTCTGCGAATTCTTTGGCGTCTGTTGCCAACTCGTCTTCGTCCTGACACGGTAGCATTGAGTCTAGCATGGTCTGCACTTCGCGGCCGTAGAGAAGCCGAAATGGCGTGAATCACGTGGTCTCTTGCACGGCGGTATTATACGCGAAGGTCACGTAAGGCAAGATCCGGTCCCATGTTTTGTGCTGTACGTCGATGTACATTGAGATCATGTCTGCGAGGGTCTTATTCAGTCGTTCAGTAAGTCCGTAGGTTTGCGG